GCGATGTGTACCCACCCCGAGTACGTTCGTTCATCAAAGTTGCTAAATTTCATCTCAACTCACCCCACAGCTTTACACCTCATACGACACGAACATAGGCCTCTTCGTATGCACGTCCTTCATCATCATCATCGAAGAATTCCAGCACCTGCTGGAGCCGAGCCTCGTAGCGCTCATAAAAGAAAGCATGTACAACGCGACGGTCGGGGATGGGTATCGCGTCGGGGGGGTCAACGGCGACGGGTACTCCGCCGGTGGCTTCATAGGTGATAACCGTGCGTCGGCTAGCCGGCCTCCACTCGTTCATCGCAAGTTCTGAAATTGCGCAGTGTATCCAATATACAGCAATCCATGGTACGTCTCTTGCTACTTGATTTTAAAAAGGAACTTATCTCACTGAACGTGCTCAGGTACATGCGCATCATGGCCGCGACCTACGTCGGCAAAATGGTGAGCGACACGAACATGTCGTACTGGGGCGACCAGTGGGCCGCCGAGGCGGTCGCGAACTTTAATCTATACGGTACTCTGGCTGAGGTATGCATCTATTTTCGCCCGTCATTTCAATGCACCACTGAGATGAACTTATCCACGATATGATAATTGTGTACCCAGTTCAATTCCGGGACGTATACCGGTGTGACGCTGTACGCACTCTCCCTGTGGGGCTACATGCCGAGGAATTCGACCATCGCGAAACATGCAAAGGACATCATCGGTAAGACGTGGGCCTCCATCGGGATGTATTACAACCCGACGCTGCACACGCTGGGCGGCCCGTGGGATCGGGCGTACGGGTATGACATGGTATTTATTTGACTTTAATTGCCTGCCGAAGATGAAATGCGATCCACTGTTGACAGAGAGCGTATTACGGAATCCTCGGTGGGCAGATGTACGTGAATCATGTTTGGTCGCAAATGTCGGGTTGAACTGACTGTAACGGGGTTCCAGCGCCGGTTTAATCGGCGGAATCGAGGACGGGAGCGCACCCATCCCCCGGCCCATCGTCGGCTCGGAGCACTTCGGCGACGCAGCAGCGAACGTTCTGTGCGCCGCCCATGCTCCATGCATAAGTGATATAATCGCTAATTCCACTCGCTCACCTCACACAGAACGCCCCTCGTCGCGAAGTTCCACGATCCCTACGTCCCCGCCGCGGCGCTCGCGCAGCTCAAGGGGTTGTCCGGGAGCCACGCGTACTCCGCGCAGGCGGTGTCCCCGCCGTGGGACAACCCCGCCGTGCCGCGGAACTACACCTCCTGGACGGCGCCGGGCATGAGCCTTGGCGCGATTGCGTCTGACGAGAAGGTGGTCGGGGGCGCGGCGACTAACCAGGCTGCGTATGTCCCCGCTTCGATTATCTGGAGCACGGGAACGCAGACGGCGTGGTTTAATGTACGTCCAATGGCCCTTACATCATTCATCGTCCCGTTATATATTCCTAATCTCCTAATAATGACTTTTGTTCTGTTTTAGATGTACCCCACGAGCGGCACCATTGCCGCCAGCGCCTCACGTACGGGGCTCACCATCGCATACCCCCCTTCTACCGCGTTCGCGTCCAACACCACCGTTGCCGCACCCACGTCAAACGTGATGACCTTCCTCTTCGGCGGCTTCCCGCACCTGTCCCTCCCCGCAGACTTCCTTGCAAATGGGACGGGGACGCTTCCAGGTCTCCAGCTGGCAGTGTCGGGCAACGTCTTGAGCGCGGGCGTGCGCACGCTGGTGTACGGGGCGAGCACGATCAACGATCTGCCGTATTATAACCTCACGTATTCGTTCGGTGATTTAGATTCGGGGGTGCCGCAGATTGAGATTGTGGTGGAGAAGATTTAGGCTACGTGGTTATTTTATTCTGTCTTGGATAATCTTTGTGGCTCATATCTACATACGGCATGTTGGCTCGCGAGGTTTATACGACATTCTGATTTAACAACGCCGAGATGGCCGTAGTCTCTCGGAGACAGACGCTTCAAACATACTTGATGTCGTACCTCGATTGTTTGAACTTTGGAAGATGGCCGCTGGAGAAATTACAATCGGTACTGGTTGCTTGATGCTGAACGAGTGGGTTTCTGGGCAGTACCTTGATCCTGAACGAATTCAGCGACGTGATGCGTAGGTTTTTGGAGGAAGAGAAAACACACGAATGAGCGAGGTATTCCATCCCCTTCTCCGATGCCGTGTTGAGCTCCTCGGAATTCCCTTACTGGGGCGATAATAAGTCCCACGCGTGCTGTGCTGATTCTTTTGCCTCATTCCAGCGGTCGATAGAAGGAGCTGTCTGAGAACGTTTCAGTGCAACTTCTCCAAAAAGCCCACACGTTATATTTGTACAACAACACCAGAGTTTATTTGTCTGACTTACCTCTTAACCTAGGTAGACGAAGCAAACACCAGCTGGGAAATCAGTGAAGCGCACGCCACTCCTGTCATAAGTTTCGCCGCCGACCCTACATATGACTTTTACTCATTTTCAATTAGGCCCGTGCCGTGAGACAGCATAGTTCCACCACGCCTTATTTCTCTTACTTAACTCTCGACCTAGGTTGACGAAGACAACAGCAAGTGGACTATTGGTAACGTAAGCATGCCACCGTTCTGTTTGCATTTTCGACTGACACTGGCAAAGGCCCGTCGTGCTGTGCAAACTCCCGACGCAATCGACGAAACTAACAACAGGCAATTATTTCTATTATCTGTTCCGGATGTTTACCAACTTCTGGCGTAGCTGGGAGATCCACAACGTCCGTGCCACCGGATATGTAGACCAATCCAATACCCGGTAAGTCTTGTACTGAAGGTTCTGCGCAATACCGACCTCCGGCATAGCTGGAAAATCAACGAAGCGCGCGCCACTCCTGTGGTAAGTTGTAACGTCGGCTCCGAATGTCACTTTAGTGAGACGGCACAACATCACCTCGCTTCAATCCTCTGACCCTACTCTCACCACAGCTCGACGAGGCCAACAGCAGCTGGACCATTGGCAAGGATGTGAGCATGCCTGTTATTTATCCACACTTTATACTGACAAGAATGAAGCCCCTGCGCCGTGCTGTGAGATCATACAATAACACGACGCCTTATTCCTCTGACTTGACTGTTGACCTAGGTGGATGAGGCCAACACCAGCTGGAAGATCAACGAGGCGCGCGCCACTCCTGTTGTAAGTTTTGCCGCCAACTCTACATTTCACTTTTGCTCAAAGTCAGGCTCGGGCAGCTCCTGTGAGGCTGAACAATATAATCACGCCGTATTGCTCTTCTCTGACTGTCAACTCAGATCGACGATAACAACACCTCCTGGACTATCGGCAACAATGAGGTGAGCATCCCTGCCGACTCTACATACCACTTTTGCTCATACAAGGCCAGGCCCGTGCACCCGCTGTGAGATCGCACAATGAGACACCTTAGATTCTCCGACTTTACTGTTGATCCAGGTGGAGGCCAACACCAGGTGAGTCTTGTATCCAATGTTCCACGCAATACTCACTTCTGGAAAAGCTGGAAGATCAACGAGGCGCGCGCCACTCCTGTTGTAAGTTTTGCCGCCGACTCTACATGTCACTTTCGCTCACTTAGAGTCAGGCTCGGGCAGCTCCTGTGAGACTAATACAACCACCTCGTAGTGATCTTCTCTGACTATCAACCCAGATCGACGATAACAACACCTCATGGACTATTGGGAACAATGAGGTGAGCATACTGCGTTCTGTCCGCATTTTAGACTCACAGGAAGGAAGGGCCGTGCGGAACCGAGTGCCGAGTTAGTGGGTCTCTACATCTTGAGGAAGAATTCTGGCTCTGACTTGTAATATAGGTGGATTCGGGCAATGTCAAGTGGATCATCCACAACGCCAAGCGTGCTGCTCCTACGCCCGTTGTAAGTTTCTCTATCCTGAATTTTGCGTACTGAGCTGATGAATCAGAATCTCTAGGCATGATCAAAATCCGTTATCTGACTGCTACCCGTGTGCTACATTCTCGTCTGGTCAAATTACTCTCTTTTGTTTAGTTACATCCATCGTGAATGATCCGTTGTATCGAAACCTTGAGGTTCGAGTACCATGAACAAACTCTTGTGTGCAATCCTTCCGGCCTACTGATTTTTTTTTTGTATTTCTCGACTTTGAACCGTGTGAAAACAAACATGTGATCGGTCTGATCAAGGCTGGTCCTCCTCGCTGGGAGCTTCCGCAAAGTTGTGATGAGCTCCCTCCCTTGATTTGTTCACCGTGAAGATCGATAATATCACTGCCGGAATTTTGACCCAAGTGGAGAAAAAAAGAGAGATACCAGGATAGGCGGACGTGGGGAGTCGAACCCCGAGAGCCGCAATATAAGCGAATGGATATACAGGCTTCACAGCTGTGCACCGTGCACGACGTCCGCTTTCTTCCCTACTTTTCTCCCCCTCTAAGACCGATGAGTTTTGGTTCAACCTGCGACACATTCGCTCAGGTTCTTGTTCACCAGTCCACCACTCGAACCGTGAGAAAATCGTTCGGCAAATAATGTTCTGGATTCAGATAGGCCGCAGCGTTGTAGGCAAGTATGCACGGGCTTCCCTCGAGCACCTTCCCCTCTTCCTACTCCTCATTACGTCTCTCAATATATTCTTTGAGTTCAAAAAAATTTGAAGGAACCGTGAGAGTGGACACAGGGAGTCGAACCCTATCTGCTGCTGCAATGGCAGATGGTGAGACATAATAAGCTGCTGCAGCTGTACACCGTGTACCGTGTCCGCTTATCTGTGTCGATTTCGCCTAAAGCAAAGCTGTGAGAAGGATATATCGACGCGGGATTGCGGCGGACATAAAGTTGACAGCAGATATCGATGTTGAAACTTGACTCGTGCGTTACAGTCCAGTATGGTAGTGGTATAGCATGCAGAAAAACGAGCTGCGGTGCGCAATGCCAATTTCTTTCGCTCGTTGGGAAACAACGTGTGTTTTGGACTGAGATGGAAAAAGCAAATAAGAGAACACTAAGTGCGGACGCGGGGAGTCGAACCCCGTTAGCTGCTGCATGCATGCTGGGTTTTGTGCATGAAATGCAGCGGTGCGCCATGCACCACGTCCGCTTTCCCTCTTGTCTTGCTATAAGCCTGAACTGTGGAGTGTTTGGTCGGGGAATGCATATGTTGAAATCTGTATCCGGGACCGCGGTCCAGGGAGCTATCGCCTGCCAAGGAGCTATCGCCTGCCAAGGCTGAGGTGGTTTGTGTTCAGTGATTTCGCTTCCAGCGTGCACTAATGGATATTTATCCCCAAGACCAAAACATACCCACTTGGATGCAGACGCGCGGAGGCGAACCTCGACCTGAACTACTGGATTGGTCTCCGCCCCGCGGCGGTGCGCTGTATGTCACGTCCGCTTCCCTGTTTTAATTTGCTTCCACCATGCATCGGAATTGGATTCATCATTCAAGTGAACGCAGCCCAAAAAAAGAAACCTATTTCCGATAATAGCGGACGCAGGGAATCGAACCCCGAGCAACTGCAGTATGGAACCGCGGTTGTGTCTCATACACTACTTCCGCTTCCCCGTGTATTTTATCGATGCATAACATCGACTGGGCTTTTTTCCTGGGCTGTCACCTCAGCGGTTTCGCATGTAGCTGGAATCTTAAAAAGAGTCCATGTACAATTAGAGACGTTGCGCAAAGCTGCATGCGGCTTTTTTGGTGCGCAAACTCATCACATGCGGCTTTTTTCTTTCTTTGCTCTGGTGGTCAAAAGAGGCTATTTGAGAGTCCCAGTGATGCTCCGGAGCAAAAAAAGGATATTCCCGTGTGCGGCTTTGAAAGCCGCATGCGGCTTTTGCGCAACGTCCCTATTGATCGATGTTCGGATGTTTCCAGCCGCAGGCCTCGGGCTTCTAGTAGAAGGCCTGCTCTTCCGTGCAATACAAGTTTTGGGCAGTAAGTTAACCCAGCAAATTTTTAAAAAATTCCTAAGTACAAATATGCGGACGTGGGGAATCGAACCCCATCAACTGCTGCGATCTAAAACTGGTTGCCGCATGAATCGCAGTTGTGTGCACGCGCACCACGTCCGCTTTCCTCTCCTGTTTCATTACGAGTAAAACGGCTTGGTTTTTTCTTTCACCAATAGGTATGTAATAGTAATACAGTAGTACCAAAAAGAAACGAGGATCGGCATGTGGACGCAGTGAGTCGAACCCCGACCAACTGCAGAAACACCTGACGTCATGACGCATTCATTGCAGCGGTGCCCGTGCACAACGTCCGTTTTGCAGAAAGTTCAGCCCGACAGCTTCAATCTCCATAAAGCAGCCTATCAAGCACTCGCCCAGGTCGATTTGTCGACCCTACCCTCGACTGGTCCTTTCTGCGCGCTCGAATCCTCAACACGCTGCAAGCGCGCGAACTCGCATTTGAATTAGCTTGAACGCATCGCGTATAACATTCAAGCGCTGAGCAAGGGAGAAGGGATGGGATGGGATGGAGAGGAAGGAAAGAGGTGATGGGATTGCTGAGGCGCGTGGGGCGGGTGGTGGGGTTGAAAGGCAGCATTGGGTACATAGGGTGTGGAGTCTAACCAGGACGGGGTGGGGATGAGGATGCGGGCGAAGAGAAGGAGCCAAGGATGTGCGGTAGGTGTAGGCATCGGCAGGCGAGGCGGGCAGTGGGTGTGCCATGGAACGAAAAGCTTTTTATTCAAGAGTGCGGCTTACATGCGCGGCGTGTAGCGCTGGTACGTGCTTTGCTTCGCTTGGGTTTGTGACTGGTGGGCGGGGTGGGCAACGAAGGGCAGCATAAAGAGCGTGTCGTAATTGATGGACCACACACTGTATCGGCGTGTAGAAACAACAGCAGACGACAGCGATGGAGACTGTGTCGACCGCTTTCCCATATCCCGAGAATCGACTTTGTTGAGCTCCCTCGCGTACTTCACATCGGTGCTACGCAGATGATGTGGGAAAAACCATCACCGTCGAGGACGTACCAGATGCGGCAGTACGACACACCTTAGTTTCGACACACCGGAATCAGAAGCGACATACCTAGAAAGCTCGACACACTTTTCACTGAGGACGGTGTGTCGAGAATGCGCCTGGCTATCATTGATCGGGGCTGCAAATATGGGCCAAACTGCCAAATATTTATCCCGCCTCTTTCCTTCTCTCACCATCCACCGCGCCGCCGCCTCCGCTGAAAACATTCACACCCTCGCAACGCCGCCGTACAGCGGGCGCCTTGGACCCCGATCGGTGACCGCTCAGCGTCACCATGGACAATGGGTTAACGTTTCGAATCGGAACCCATTGTCCATGGTGACGGACCAAAGAGGCCGTTTGTCAAGGGAGGGAGGTCAAGGAGGATAGCCAAGGTGCGTGTCCATACCTCTTACAGATTAAATTCGCTGCTCACACTCGTCCGGCCTCGTTGCTCGTGCCTGCGCAGTAAGTGTGAGTACAAGCCCCCGCCCCGCTTGTCGCTTCGATCCCGCACACTCCGTGCCCGCCGCCCCGAGATCCTCCGCATACCTTGTGCCCTTACTCGCGTTGCTCAAACGTGCCGCATGCAGCCTTGCGCAGATGCGGCAGAATGCACGCGCGGCGCGCTCCAAGTGCGCACGATCTCTGCGGGGAAGGCAGGCAGACACGCCGACACGCCGACACGCTAATGCCGACATCCGCGCCGGGACGCAGGTGCGCGTGTTGGCGAGGCGGCGGCGCCGCTATTGAACTACGTAGTACAACTATTGTATGTACATTGATACAATGCAATTGATTTAGACCCACTACAAGCCACTACATACACGATTTACGAAGGCATCAAGGTGACGGAATAATTGTTCGGTCACCCGGTGCATTAGAGTTCGCGAGTTCTCTGTTACCTCTTGAAGAATAAATTTCTTGTGTTCAGTAATGATGACTCGTTCACTAAATTGAAGTCTGTCGCCCTTACATTTGCTGTCTAGATGTGTCGAACTTGGTGTGTCGTACTTTGCCGCGGTGTGTCAAACATTGCGTAGTGTGTCGCATCTAATTTCGGGTGTGTCGAATTTAAGGTGTGTCGTACTGCCGCATCTGGTCTATCCCAATCATCGTCCTCCCCCAATTCACCGCAGTGCGATCAAATATATCTGATACCTCTTCTTTCTGCCTCCGTTCTTTGCAGAGGTACTTGTTTTGGACTGTTCTTGCGAGCACGCTCGCGGTTTCAAAGGTGTATAATAATATGACGTTACCAATCTAAGCATACGAAAAAACCAAATAAATTTAAACTCGAAGCTGCTCAGAGATCGGACGCGCCAAGCGCCTCGTAGGCGGGACGAATGTGGTCCCAAGCCACTATACGAGTAGATCCCTGAGTCAGTAACGCACAATGAATAAACCCTCGACGTACGCGAATGAGCAATGGTGGTGTTCCAGTCCGGCACATCCTCTGCGAATACAATGGTGAGCCCGCTGGTCCATACAGTATTTCAGTTGCGCACAGAAGGGAATGCATGGATGGAGACGCACGCCTCGAGGTGCCAGTCGATATGACAGTGCAGGAACCACGCTGCAAAATAACGACGGCGTCGATGGAGAATCATCCACGGCTTGCACGAGGAAGTAACTCACGTCCATCGTTATCGGTGACGAAGCGAATGGTGACATTGTCTCCGGCGTTGCCTACGCTCACCCTGTGACGAAAGCACCGTCGGTCGAAATGATGAGGAATCGAGACAAAGACGTACTCGTCGCGGCGACTCGGAGGCTAAGGAGCGAGCGAATATAGCTATAGAACGAGCTGCTATACCGTCGACCGCCAGCTTCCGTCAGACGGAGTTGGTCGATTGCACGGGTCGCCTGCTGAACCGTGATTCAGATCAATACACCATCAGTAGATTGATACGCCATGGGAAGACTGTCTGCAGACCATCAGTGGGATTGTGCAAAGCATCGAACAGTGTGCAAATGAGGTAAAATTTCGAGAATCCAGACGTCGGTATTGTCGCATCTCCATCACTCAACATTCGCGGCCGAAGAAGATGAAGGAGTAGCTGCACGTCCGACGTGGCTCGTAGGAAAAGAGGCTGAGAGGTAGCTGAAGTGGTTCATGGGTCCGTGATGCGGTGAATTTTGGGGGATGGATTATGGGATAAACGAAAATGCGCGCGATCTCATATGGCCCGCCGTGGTTGACTCACAGTGATGTATTTCCCATAGGCGTGGTACTCAATCATAAATATCGTAAACATTGTAGTGTCTGGAGTAAGCCATACAGCTTCAATTATATACTCATTTCTTCGCCCTTTCAATTCAGAACCTTAAACTGACGCTCCCAATCCGCAAGTAGGGCAGCAATTTCCCGGTTCGATCACACCGACACTGCACATACTCCAATCAGTAAATCGTCTCAGGCATCTGATCGTTTTACACTCACCAGTCGAGACATAGGATATCCGTACAATCCGGCTTTGGCTTGCAAGAGGGGCAGCATTGGCCAGGCACGGTTGTTGCGATGGTGTTTTTAGGGCTATTGAAGAACGTGAGCTACATTTTCCATTGTCATAAATTGATGCATACCAGGCAAGACACTGAACAGCAGAGCAATCCGGAGCGGGAACACAAGTCGGGCAGCAGTCGCCAGGTTGCGTAACCGAGATGTAATCAGGAGCACTAATAACAAAGTTAGCACCCACGATTGCAGCCGGAACAAGCGAAGACTAACCAGCGTATTAATGGACAGTTCACTTTACCACAGGGAACGCAGGTCGGGCAGCAAGTGCCAGGCTTAATTTGTGCCGTCTGGCCGAGGGGACTGTTCAGAAAAAAAGGTCAATTAACTTCAAGCACCGAAAGTCCATACACTGGACTTACCATTCTGGTGCAGCACAGCGGACGAGAGAGCAATCGACCTTGGGGACAGCGCCAACTAATTGAGAGAGGAAGAGCGCAGAGAGGACGACGGAAAGAGAGGCGAATTTCGCTTGCATGTTTAGATAGTTAGAAGGGTCAAAGGTCGAGCTGTCGTTGAGTCTCCAAGCCTTCACAATTTATACCTCTAACGCTTTCATTAACAAGAGACTTGGCATTGCCCACCCTTGACACCGAGGGGGCGGT